CACGTACAGTCGATGATAATGATGCATCTGGGGCTGTGAGTGCCGATCTGACGATTGCTCTATCTTCACGTTCTGTCGTTTCTCTAGCTCTATCGCTTCCTTCTTGACGCTGTGTGCAGCCATGGTTCACCCATTCCTGCCAACATCAACTAATAGTGGCAGCATTCCTGCTCAAATGTCAAGCTATTCGCCGATAAGACCATATGGCTTCTTTGAGCCTAACTACAAGACCTCTCTCAAATTCTGACATCTGCTCATATTGTTCGTGCAACTATATGCGAGGCATAGTTACTGTCTACCAGAGTACATGGAATGAAATTCGTAAATTTATTACCTGGAATCGTAATTTCTCCTCTTAAATATCCTGCCAGTTGCGCAGATCAGATGCGCTGTAACGATAACCGTTCATTCATTGGCAGCAAAAATGTAAAATTTTGCATTTTCCGACGAAATCTGTATGCAAACCAATTTGCTTTACATCTTCTCGGTGCGACGTGGTGCATCTTTTTTTTTTTTGTCGTCTAAGAGTGTATATGTTACCATTAAAGTATGAAATTCGTTATTTCATAGAACAGATAGTTACTTCATGAAATAGCTAAATAAGTTAAAGTGTGTAGTAAGTTTATAGGGTATTTATTATTTTAATGAACTAGTTATTATGATTTAAAACTTTACTGTCACGTCTTCCTTCTGTTTTCCCGCCAGAATGCAAATTAGTTCGCTTACATTAAGATTATTTTTATATTCTAAGATGGAGCGTGTTCTGTCTTGATAAGCCATGTTACTATGTAGCTCAGATAAAATTTGTAATCTGCGACCTTGCATTATAATTGACTATATTTGAATATCCACGTTGGTTAGTTTGTGACCAACTTTGCCTTAATTTGATCTATTTGACTAGCTTATTTGAATTTAATTTTACATTTAACTGTTATTTAAAAAATACTACCATAAGTGTTGGCTGAGTTGTAGCAGCAGGTGTGGCTTCTGTTCTTTTTTATTTTCAAAGAAAGAGTCTTTTATACCCTCTTCAAATTTCAGTTGCTATTTTAGACTTGGGAATAATTTGCTGTCAGTTTATCTAGAGTTTTATGCTAGTTCATGATCACAAAGAAGTTTACCAAATTTTATTGTGCCGTTCGAACAAAAGTAAAAAACCAGGGATAAAAAAATTACATTTTGGGGACAACGGGACTCGCATTTCTTGCTTTACAGTTGAGAAAGCACAAAACATCATAGCAACCGAAGCACTGTGAAGATAAGCACTGAGCTGGTACAAATGCATCTTGGATGAACCAGGCATTGAGAAGTAGAAATTTGAAGTATTTAAAGCTGGCTTAGCGAAAACATTCCCCATGGTGCAGGATAGGGCCAAACTGGAGTCTGAAGTGTTTAGTAGCGCAAGCTCGCAGGGTAAGATGAAATAAGTAAAAGTTAGCATGAAGGTAATTAAAAGTTAGTCTCTCCAATCAAGTTTAATGAGCTGTATTTCTTATCACATTAGGAATACTTTTGAATTTAAGGTGCTCTTGAGTTTTAGTGCATCAAAGTTATTAACATTTAGGATTTTGGTCAGATGGTAGAGTTGAAATACGTAGGCAGATCCCTTTCCCTCCCCCCCCAGAAAAAAAGGTTACAAGAATCAGCATTTGAAAAATAATTATTGTAAAGGGAATACTTCATCCTCAGAGTGTAGGCAGATGGCACTAGTTGTCTAGCAGCACTGTGGGGAGGTAGAGTAAGTCTGCAGACGTGTCAGAGAGACTGCAATGGCAAAATGTTTAGAAAAATGGCGTCACATGGAGGTGAGAGCCGTGATTCATTATCCTGATCGAGTATCTGGAAGATAGCTTACTGTTACTGCTAATCGTTATGGTACCATTTAGACAAGCTATGTGAAGGCATCCGACATAAGTGCTCTGGCATGTTGAATGATGGTGTCATCCTCCTACATGGCAATGTCCGGCCCCATACTGCTCGCCAAACTCCAGAATGGCTGCAAAAGTTTAAGTGGGAAATCCGGAGTCAAACCCCATGCAGCCCAATGACAATTTTCTTTTTTTCTGAAACTGAGGAACATTCATCTGGAATAAGCGATAACTTAAGTCAGTTTATCTAGAGTTTGGTTTGAATTCATGAAAGCAAAGATTACTAAAATTTTAGAAGTTCTAATTCCACACTAGTTATTTTATAGAATAATGGTCTACAGCTTGTTAAAGTGTATAATAAAAGATTTATAACGCTTAACATTAGCCACTATATTGCGATATATAGGATGATTTTAATAAACATTACAAATTCAAAATACTCTAAAGGGGAACCACTGGTCAGAAATAGCACACCATTTTCAACTCATTATAAAGTGTTGTATAATAAAATGATATTAACTTTTATATTCCTCTAAAGAATCCAGAAAGTATTATTTCCATTTCCATACATTTTTTTCCCTAAGAAATGGTAATTTACTAAATTTAACATACACGCAAATATTTTTATGTGAGACCATCATGACATGGTACTGTTAGCTTACGCGTCAAACTATTACACTACCAGCGTATGAAGGACTCTAAAGAGACTACTATATTCTAAAGTATTCATTTATTTAATAAAACATCACTCAGGTATATAACATACAAATAATGTTCAATAAGCCTAACTAACTACAAAAACATGTTTACCTAATTCCGCGAATTGCCCTGCTGCCACTCTCATGAAACCAAACTAACAACAATTATTAATGGCCAAAAAGTAAAAGTAATAAGTATTGTAAAATTATAAGTATAGAACTAAAGTAAAGTAAATACAAAATACAAACTACATTGTTTTGAAATCCAACAGGTACTGTATTTATCATTGCAGGATATCATAATGAGGTGTTGGCTGAAAAAACAAGGTTAAGCAATGCCACCAGTGAAGCATGTACATTATGTTAACGAAAATGCAGTAATGTAGTAAGCCTATTGACGTATCATTTTTAGAAGACAAAATAGTACAGAAGATATGGAATTTGTTTTATTCAACTAAATGTTCATAAAGAAAGAGAATAATAAAAGTTCTGAAATTCAAGCTCAGAAAATAAATTTAATGTCAGGTAAATCTCCTTTTGAAGCCTCCTTGAAGACAGAAGAGGTGAAGCCAGATCTGTTTTAGCTATTATCATAAAAACAACCAAAAAGGATTTTCTTTCTTTCTTCTTTTTCCCCAATTTAAACAAGAAATGGCAGCATGAAAGAACTATATTCTTGATCTTAGTTTGGCTTCTGCGAGCAAAACTAATTAAAATCAAAGAAACAGAGATGAGATATAGAGAAAAATCGCTTGGTACTTGCAGTTAAAAGTTTAGCTACAAAGTACAGTAACATTTATGATTGATAATATAAAGGTTCTACCTCTGGCTGCAACAATGGTTGGGCATTGAGTTGAACTGATCTTGGACGACAAATATGGGCACTTCACTCCATATGGCTTAAACTCTCTGCCAATGTTCATGAATCATAGTGACTAGTTAGTGGTGGGTGCCCATACCAGATACTCTCAATAAGCAAGAGATCTGGAGAATATGCTGGCTAGGGCAACTGTCGAACACTCTCAGTGCAAAACAGGCAACATGCAGTTGAGCATTATCTTGTTGAAAGATGGCATCAAACTGGCCTTAAATGTCGGAAATATAACGGCCACTGTCCACATTACAGGCTGTAAGAGATGACCGGGATGGCTATGAAAGATAACTCAGATGCAAATAAGAGCAACTGGACGTGCAGCTAATGACCCTGCATACCAGCATGAGAGGCTCTGGGCCAGTATGATGATGATGATGATGAATGCAACCTAGCAACATTTATTTTTCTTGATGCTGCCACACATGGATACATCCATCACAATGCTGCATATAGAACCGAGATTCATCAGAAAAGATTATGTGATGCAACTCTTCTCTCCACTGTGGTTACTCGCCGAACCACTGTAGATGTGTCTGTCTCTGCAGAGGCATCAAGAGGAGCTACAACAACGGTCCTAGTGCTGCAGACATCTTCATGCTGTTCTTGTAGACATTTGTTGGCCTGCACCTCAGCCATGTTCCTGACTCACGGCATGCAATATAGCTGTATGATCTTGCAAGGCTGAGAGGGCAGTATGTATGTCCTGTTTGGTGTCAGTAGCCCAGGAATACTGAGATTCACTATGATGTTCTGCATGATTCTCCTGGATCCATAGGTTCCATACTTGGCTGAAGGTCATATGTTCTGACCAACACAAGCAGCAATGCTGTGGAATGATAAACCACAGTCCTGAGAATCCACGATCCTGCAGTCGAATTCCAACACATGTTGGTAGGAGTTTTTCCTTCTTACATGAGGAATAACGAAACTATTACACAAACAACCAATGTTCAAATGCAATTTTAAAATAATAAACCAGCTGTCTGTAGATAATGTTACTTGCACTTGCTTTGTGCACATATACTGGAAAGCTAAACACTTTGATATCTTGCATGTATTACCTTTCATGCAAATTTGACATGTGCTGCATGCTGCCCTCATTGTGTGGCAATTTTAATAGTCAACAGTGTTAAAGTACAGAAGCCATTTAATTGTATTTCTCTCGATTAAATTTTCATAAAAACAAAATAAGAAACATTACCATCTTTAAAATTTAGGATGAATGATATGTTGACTGATGTATTACAAGAGTATGTCAATGCTGGTTTTCGTAACTATAAATAAAACTCTGTCTTAACTTATAATATTTTTTAAGTTATGTTAAGAGTGCAAGTTGGATGCAGAAGTGGATATATTGCCTCTTTTCTTATCCAGAGTACTCAATTTCAATTTTATAACAACATTTGCATTATGTATTTCTCAATTTATTTTCTTTTAATTGCTACATCAAACATTTAGAATATTTTAAGGTCATAGGAATTTTCCATAACTAAAAATGTTTTATATTTTTATGTGAATATTCATTAAAAAATTTCCTAAGAAACAGTCAGCAATCAAATATATAGTGTAGGTCTTTTTTTTAATTAATATAGCTGATACAAAATTATGTCAGCTGTCATCATCCTCTAAAAATTTCAATGAAGTTACCAGCCATATTAATATCTGAAAAAAATGTTTTTATTTAATTATATGTTAAATATACATAGCAGACACAAAAACTTTTTGAAAAGAAAATACAACTGATATAAAAATAATCTAATAAATACAATATATTTATTTATCATTCCCAACATAAATTTATGATACTGCAATAGCCCAAAAATTTAAATCATGGTTTTCAGGTTTAATTTACCTGATTTTCTATGACCAGACTGAACGATTTCCTCGACCAAACAAGATGCATTATTAATCAGAAGACTAAGTATCAGTAACTGAATAACTTTAAGCATTTACTACAAAATGCAATAAAATGACTACTCATTGTGGTGAAAGCAAAGAAAAGACTTGCAAGATAAATATGCCTCAAAGCCAGTCAATAAAAGCAGGCAGGGTACTTGAAAAGAAATTTCATATTTTGAAAGGGAGCACTATTTATTTTTCAAAAGGAATTTATAACAGTTTCTCATTCTTAATAAATATTAAAATTTTGGTATTCCAAAATAAAACTGAGCAGCTTAAAATTATGCTGGATTGAAAAAGTGTTCGATTTTTATACTATATTATAATAACATACAACAACATTATTTATGTTTGAAGGGAATTACACAGAGAAAGGTAATAAAAATAAAACAGGCTTCTAAAGAAATGAATGAGCAATAGCTCACTAACAGATGGAGAGGATGGTTATAAGGTTGCTAAAGTTACATAAGGTATGAGGTAGGTATAATATCTACATTTTGACTTAGTCTACTCAGTAAGAAAATAATTTTTATTACATTTTAAAATTTTTAAATTAAATGCTTTTTAAAATTTGTTTATAGTTTTAATGCCATAATTTTGCAATTTTTTACTATGGCCTGTATGTTTTCAAATTTCATACATTATTTTTTCATGTGTTGGACTGATTGCATTTACATGTTTTGTTTTTTGACTCAGTCTGGGGGGGGGAACACACCTTTTAAGCTTTTTTAAGTGTGTTTATCGTTTTGATACATTAATTTTGAAATTTTTTGCACTACTTACTAGTGCTTATAAGAGCTGGACTGACAAAGACACATATTACTTTGATTAATTTTCTAGACTATCTCAAGTATTAAACTCTAATTTTTAATTTGTGTCTTTGTTACTTCAGAAACAGGCTGATGTATTTACTTCTTTCGTTGCACCAACCCCCTGGTAAATGGAACAAAAGATGTAAATTATTTTTTTCTTTTTCATTTTTGGTTTTAGCTTTTTTTTTTTTTCCACCTTTCATGCTGTTTACCACTGTGGTTATGGATTTCATTTTTGTATATTATATGTTCTCAGCTAAAAGAGGACAGATTTTAAATATGTTAGTTTATTTTGTATTATTACCACTACCTGGTGCTACTATAAACGTGCAACTGGTTTAGATTTTGAACTGCTTTGTATTTATGTATGTATGAAAACTACTAATTTTAATTCGGCAATAGTCCCTTGTATTCCTCATTTTAATACGGCTACTTTCCCTTTCTGTCCTAAAACTACTAACTGTTTATAATATATGAATCTAAAGTGCATTATTTCAAAAGTAATCCACAGCATGCCATCATATATAACATGTAGCAATGAGGATATCTTTTATCCAATCACAGATAAAAATTTCAACAAAGCCAGTTCTGCATCTCTAGCTGCTGCTGAATGCATACTTCCTTTCCACTTTACCTTACTCCTACTACCATGTGCCACTCATCTCAATGTTGTCTACCGTCCACTGTTCTGAAAATATAAGCTTCCAAAAATTTCCAGATGCATATTACGCACATGATGATGTGTGAAAATGAATCTGCATCAAGAATTAGTTAATAGTCTGTATCAAGAATCTGCCATAAATTATGTCTTGTCTTCAGTCACATTTGTCTGTGGAGAAGCCCTTGTCAAGTTGTTACAATGCTACGAGCCCAAATCTGTTGCAGCTATCACCCAATCACTGAGATATTACAGATTATATATACAGTGTGATTCTGACTGACAAACTTGCAGGTTGCGTAGGGGGTACAGAGATGACACAGAATCATATAGGATTTGCGACCCTGCAATTCTATGTTATTCTGAGTAGTCTCTGTATCTCCTAGACACTCTGCAAATTTATCGGTAGGGTAGCAAATCACCCTGTATATCACATACACACAACATAAGTAAAAATAATTATGAGTAATTTAAAATGCCTACAACTTACGCTAAAGCTGCTAAATAATAAATCAAAAATTTATCATTAAAAAAGGTATTTATATATCATCTCCAAGGGAAAGAAATTTAATTAAAGCTATGAATTATTAGAAAACCTTAAGTATTTTTAAGTAGCTTTCCAAGTTAATATCAAATATCAAAAAATTATCTAGATCTATTGTAGTAAAAATTATTTAAAATGTGTTGTGGCAAAAATTATTTAAAATCTGTAAAGAAAAATCCTTTGACGAAACTCATCATTCTATAAAAATAGCAGTCATCATTTTTGTCACTGATATAGGTCAGTAAGGTCTCACTTGTAGCCAACTTTGTAGTTTATCACTTTATAGTTTATAGTTATTGTAGGTGTTTTATGGAATTGTGATAAGCAGATCTGCAGTTTATCCTGAAGCTTCAGTATTCATGTTAGCACACCAGCTTGGTATGGCATGTATCTTGTGAATTAGTGAATGATTATATTGAAGCAGGAATAGGCTGTCATAATGTGAATGTGGTGGAATTATATAAGATATTGAGATTGGCCCTAACGTGAATAACCTCCTGCACAAGAATCGGAAGACAGTCTCAAATCATCACATTCCACAATCAGAGTTAGACACTGCTCACCTGCATTCTTTACATGCACATGTGCCCACAAGATTGCCATATACCCCAGTCAGATTTCCTATTTTATAACAAATGTAACTGCTCTAAGCTCCAATGCCATTATGTTATATATCACAGTAAGACAATGGACAGGGTTGCCACTCAAACAGGAGAATGAAATTCCCTGACTTTTCCAGGTGTGTTTCAAGAAAATTCCAGTCTATCCGTGTAATGTACGTTGGCTGTGCTAAGAGGTAAATTAATTATGGTATTACTTGTATTGTGTAGCAAATTCACTTAATTATTCAATAAATTCCAGAGGACATTTATTCTTAATTATTCTTGGTATACGTTGTTTGATAATTTTGTTTAGTTTTCCACTTAAGAAGCTTAATAAAATTTAAGAATATATACATTGGATAACAAATTGTATGTTTTATTTAATTATTACTCATGATCATCAGCCAGTTCAACACGAGGACTAATCCGGTCCTTATAAATCACAACGCAATGCTAAATAGTTAGCTTAGATTTTAGGTACAAATTTAATTTGTGTGAGGTATGTTCTTAAAAGGCACCTTAACACTTGAAAACACAAATATAAAATTATAATAGTTGTTGTTTTCTCCACTGAAGATTGAGATTAGAATCTTCCCAATCTGGAACAAAATAAGGCTTTTTTTTTTTTTTTTTTTTTTTTGCAGACATTCTGCAGCTAAACGAAGAAGAAAGAAATCTATTTTAATAAATTGAGGTATTTTATACTTATTTCGCAGCATACATAATGAAAAAATATGTGCATTAAATTTCGTGATGGTATGTCATCATACTGCTATAATTAATTTCTGGATTATGCCAGAGAAAATTTCCTGAAATTTGGAAATATTATTTACTAATAATAAATAAATTTAGAGGGAAGAAGCAACATTAAATTATATGAATAACATAAAAATAATTACTTAAAAATTAAATTAGAATAATCAACGATATTTTAGCGAATATAGTTATATTACATGGCTAGCCTAGATGACTGATTACTATTTTTTTTTATTTTACTGCAAAATGGCAAGGTATTTATTAAAAAAAAAAAAAAAAAAAAAAAAAAAAAAAAAAAAAAAAATTAAAAAGATTTTGCGGTAAAATTCTAGTATACGGTAAGGCTTTGGCACGATTTTGAAAATTGTCGCCAAGACCAAAATGACCCGTTTACTGCGCATCATGATGTCGCCAAATCTCATTATTATTCTAACCAAAGAACGTCTATGTAAAGAAGAAAAGGTTCCATACAAGTAAAATGCTATTTACGCCGTTAGAATGCGGAGGAAAAATTTGCCAAGGGATTTGGCGACGGAACCTGGCGGCCAGAATTTCCCTCTCCGCGATGTGTACAGGAAATTGAGAAACACGTGTTAAGAAGAAACGCTCTTTGACAAAAAGAAAACTACGAAAATCCGTTTTTAAAATTATTGAGAAAAAATCCACGCAATAATTTTAAAAAACGGATTTTCGTAGTTTTTTTTTCCCCCTGAAAATAACTAATCCATGAATTAATTTACTTGCGCCAAAAAAATATTTTCTTTTCCTTAGAGTTTAACCACTTGCGCTAAGACTAAACTTCACGGTTGCGGTGCCGTGCGCTACAATATAACAAGCGGTAAAGTGTCTCATTTACGCCGCTCCGCATCTGCGAGTGCAATCCAGAGCTGTAACTCGAGAAATAAACAATTTCGTTGTTAGGCGACGTGTGCACCACGTTATTTTCATTTTTGCGATAAATGCTTATCGACGTGGTGTTCACATCGCTCACGGTTTGAGGCAAAAGCATCTCGACGTGCGTGGCATGTCTTTTTAGCGCAAGTCGTTAAAGAAATTTTAAACGATATTCATTTTATGAACTCTTGATAACGTGACCTTCGAACTTCGACACCGGTTTCGAGCTTTGGCAACAGATATATCAGACATGCACAGCTGTTTCCCTCTATGATGGAACGGAGCCACGTCTGTTGCAGAGAGGTTTTGCTTCTTTACAATACATATTCTTTGATTCTAACCTCCATGGTACCGTATACTAGGATTAAACCCATTTTGTTTTATACGAGAAAAAGTACTTTCTTTAGTTCATGCACTGCACATGCGATTCTCAAGAATACTGGAAACCAAAAGTTGCGAGAAACTTGCTTTGCCTTTCTAAAAGACAATCAAATTGGAGCTGCGATAATTGGCTCTATGCCAGCTACCCGAATGACGCTCACGTGATACATAATTCGCCAAAAAAGTTATCTCTTCCGACGTCGGAGCAAAAATCGCTTTTTTTGGCGGGATCGTTGTATGAACTTCCCTGACTTTTCCAGATTTTGACAAAAATACTTAAATTCCCTGACTTTTCCCTGAATATTTTGGTCAATTTTCGAATTCCCTGACTTTTCCCGGTTCTCCCGGTTTTCCAGGTAGCGTGGCAACCCTGAATGGAGTAGCAAGCCACTTTTGCCACCCATTGTAATCCCTGAATTTGCTGCTCTTTTTATACACAAATAAATAACGAAAAAAATGACATATAGATAAATAAATTAAAACCTATATTTATTTTTGAAGATATTACCAATATTTTATAATTATATTATTATTTTGCTCGGTTTTCATTTGCAAAATCATCAATGACATTGTAGAGATCTACTTGATTGCTTCAGAGAGTGTTTATATACACAGTATAGAAAAAGTTCCTGAAGGCAAATTAAGATTTGTATATCTTGAACTTTTCTTAAACAATTTTTATTTAAAAAGCTCTTTTCACAATTAGCAACAATTTTTTCCCAGCAATTTTGAGAAAAGTTTGAAGCAGTAGTATAATATTTAGAACTTTGTTCTAAAGACAGTATTTTAGAATAAACTTTAAAAATTCAAGAGGCCACTCTTCTACTTACCTGATTCATTTTCCCTAGCAGTAATTGAAGCAAAATTCTGAAATATTTCTCCCTTAATTAAGAATTCTTCCTTATTAATGTCACCATGATGATTATTTTGTTAATATTTTCATTCAAAAGTTTAGGGGGATACAAAACTACTTCCCTCCTCAATTTAATTCCATATGGTAATTCAAAATCTCATTATTTTTCATTAACTCCCTATAACGACTAACCCTTATAAAATGATGTTTCATGTGGAAACTGCCACCCCAAAATGGGTTCATCCACATAGCAACAATTTTCATTTTACACCCTCAACCCCAAAAAGCTCTTTGCGAAGTTAAGTTGGAATGTCTTTTATGAAATAATATTGCGATAGTCACCTGTAGTTTATCCATGACTATTTTTCCTTTTTTATGTTCTTACTATAACAATGTTTTTGGAAGTTAAATTATGTACTTAATTATGATTCACAGAAGTACATATGATTTTAAGTAAACAATTATAAACTTTAATTCTTACTAAAACCTTGACACTTGATGGCATGTCTATTCTGATAAAGTTAGCCTCGGAAAAAAATAATTAGAAATTTTATTCATCACAGATTGTAGATGCTCAATGGTCAATTGGGTTCTTTTCTCAGACTTATCAACTTTCAACTGTTAAATAAAAATATTCAGATATAAATGTGCTCCCAAGTAAACTGATTAAGCTTATTACACAATTTTTTTTTAACTCAGGGCATTTTTTTGACAAGTACAAATAAAAATTAATCAAATCTATATATTCAAAGTAATAAAGTCTGTAAATAAAATTTGTATATTTGAATAATATTTGTAACAAACTGATAAATTAACTAGATGTATCTGTAAATTTTCTGGTGCATTATAACATGCTCATTTTAATGGTAACGAAAATAGACCAAATCATAATTAAAGTCAATACAGCTTTCTTCACATTCTTGTCATATTTTTTCCCTTCATTTTTTTTGAGATTTTTCATTTCAAATAACAGAAAAGGTTTTAAGATTTAGTAAATATAAGAAATATTTTGATTCAAGTTGTGTTTCCTGTAGTTTCAGTTTAACTTTAAAAGGTTTAATGCAAGTATACATGCTAATAAGTGTATTCTTACCTTGCAGCTCTTTATTGAAACTATTTAAATGCCTGGTTAAGTAAACAAGAAATGCTAAATCTAAAATATATTAGCCTTAAATAATTTATAACTTATGGAAGGTTTATTTATTCATTTATTTTTGTGTCATGAAAATTTTGATTTTATTTATCAAACCATAAAAATGTTTCAATTCAGCTCCTAGATATACCTTCACCATCTTTTTATACTAAATAATTTCTCTGTACTCAGTTTATTTAAGTTTCTTCAAGCAATGCAAAAAACTATATGATTCAAAGCTCATCTGCAGATAAAAGCTTATGGTTTTAGTTATTTCAATAACTTTTGGCACCATATTTATAACAAACCACCATCTGCAAACTTTTGGCACCATATTTACAACAAACCACCATCTGCAAACTTTTGGCACCATATTTACAACAAATACATAACTACAATGTTTTTGCATGCTGCATATGACCCCCGATTTTGAAACCGTCATAATAAGGATAGTGAGACATTGCAGAATTTTCATGTATGGATCTTCCCCAATGGTCATACCTAATCCTTTCACATGTTCCAAGTCATTTAACAAAAAAATTTTTTTTTTCTATTCTGTGCTTTAGTTCTTCACTGACTGTTGTGAGCTTACATCTGTGCTTTTATACTTGTTTGCAATGTCAACGATAGAAACCATCACTTACCGATTGCAGCCAGACATTTTTGATCATATATTACCATTGTTATTACAATATAGTTCCATAAAAAAAAAAAAAAAAAAAAAAACTTCCAGGGAATGAAACAAATAAGTTCATTTGCCACATGGAAGATAACTGTACGTGCTAGTACTTAACAAGTGAAACTTGTCATCTGCTTACTTGGGCGAAGTTACGATGGATGAGTCTGACTCGTCATCTGAGTTTAAGAAGCAGGCGCTGATGTTTGCGGCACCCCCGCCAGTGGGCGTTTATTGCAAGCAATGCCTGATGTTTGTTTATGACATCTTACGATTTTATATAAATATTTCTATTTTGTTTCATTTATATATTTATTTATAATTTGTAATTAAAATGCTGTTTCAAAAAGTATTTATATCACCGATTTAAGTATATTCCAAATAAAATGTATTATTTTTACATATTAATGCATATAGTGACAAATTAAATCTGTCCCTTGGGCATAAAGATCTTTAAATAATTCAGTACTCAAAGGGTTTAAATAACCATTTAAAAATAGCCGTACTTTGACACACATTCTTAAGCAGAAAATACACAACTAATTTTATAAGCACAGATTTTACAGAAATATCATTTATTCTTTAATTAATAAAAGCACCATTAAAACATTTAATATTTCTAAATTAAAAAACAGACAGATACTATGGATATTTTTTATTATTACTTAAAGTAAAACATAATGATATTAATATTAATATTAAACTTAAGTGCAATTTAACTTACCAGCAAGCAACAAATCTTCCTCCTTTTTGCATGCCAATTCATACTTTTGTAAAAGTGAATTTGGAATTTTTCCTGCTCTGTGATAGAGAAATTTATCTGCATTTATACTGTTCTAAATTAACTTCAAATTAATATGTCTTAAGTATAAAATTAAGGAAGAAAATATCGTTATTTAAAAATCGCATAGAGCTTTCAGTTACTATTCATAATTCATAGTAACAACACACCTGCCAACTTTGTGAGAGTAAAAATAAAAAAAATTTGAAAGAAATTCAGGAAAATAATAAAATTAATTTTACACAGAAAATCAACACAAACTTTAAGTATTCTGAAACAACCACATAGGACAAAAAGCTTGATTAAAAAAAATGGAAAATTAAAAATTAGTTTTAGCATAATTACAGCAGCCTTTGCTTTTGATAAAATATAATTTTAAAACTGTGCTTTAAAACATTTATTACATTGTTTCAGTTTCAAAACCAAGGCATTCAAAATTTGTCAAATGGAAGGTAAAAATATTTTAAAAGATGACACAGAAGGATAAAAATCATATTAAATTTCAAATCCAGCGAATCTAGAGGCTAAAAGATTTTTTTTTTTCAAAGAATGACTTCAGAATAGTATATGCAAATATCAGCATAGTACCCATAGTTTATCTTTCAGTTTGGCAACAGTGAGCAGATTTGTAGTTTAGGGATAGTACTGTGACAACCAACCCAATATAGCTGTTTATCCTTACACAAACAACCACCTAACTAGCTAACATGTAACTTAAAAAAAGAAATTTGTATGCTTTGAACCATAGTTAGTATCCCTATTGTTAAAGACAAGCTAACAGATGAAAAATTTAATTTTGCATCTTATTGTTTTAAATACTTTAATTCCTGAAATCCGACAAGTACAATGCCTAATATTTGTTAATTTTTAATTGTACTAAATAATGTAGTTTCAATAAAACCTTTAAGTTTTTCTTTTTCTGTGTTACTGAAATTTAGTTAGATTTATATTAGTTGTAAAGATGATAATTCCTCACAGTAATAGATTGCTGAATAAGTACTGCCAGCTAGCTAATTAAGTTTAACCTTGTAACCTTTATCAGTGATAATAAAAGTGATATATAAATTAACACACATATATATCATTTAAAAGTAATATGCTGACTATAATACAAATTTCTGGTGATAAATAAATGAAAAGTACACTGAAGTGACAAAAGTCATGGGATAGCAATATGCAAATATACAGATGGCAGTAGTATCGCGTAGAAAATGTATAAATGCGAAGTGTTTTGGCAGGGCTTTCATTTGTGTTCAAGTTATTCATGTGAAGAGGCTTTGACGTCATTATCGCCGCACGACGAGAATTAACAGACTTTGAATGCGGAATGGTAGTTGGAGCTAGATGCATGGGTCATTCCATTTCGGATATCGTTAGGGACCTGCACTTAACGACCAAGACCAGCGACGTCTGCGTAGAGTTGTCAATGTTCACAGACAAGCAACACCGCGTCAAATAACCACAGAAATCAATGTGGAACGTACGAGGGACGTGTCCGCTAGGACAGTGAGGCGAAATTTGTCTTCCTTGGGCTATGCCAGCAGAAGACCGACTCGAGTGTCTTTACTGACAGCACGACATCGCCTGCAGCGACTCTCATGGGCTCGTGAGCATATCGGTTAATCCCTAACCGAATGGAAAACCATGGCTTGGTCAGAAATCACGATTTCAGTTGGTAAGAGCTGATGGTAGGGTTCGAGTGTGGCGCAGACCCCACAAAGCCATGGACCCAAGTTGTCAACAAGGCACTGTTCAAGCTGGTGGTGGTTCCATAATGGTCTGGGCTGTTTTTACCTCGCATGGACACGGTCTTCTGGTGCAACTGAGCCGATCATTGACTGGAAATGGATACCTTCAGCTACTTGGAGATCACTTACAGCCATTCATGGACTTCACGTACTCAAACAACGATGGGATTTTTATGGATGACAATGCGCCATGTCACCGGGCCACAATTGTTCGCGATTGCTTAGAAGAACATTCTGGACAATTCCAGCGAATGATCTGCCATCTACATCACCCGACATGAATCCCATCAAACATTTATGGGACATCATCGAGAGGTCAGTTCGTGCTCGAAACCCTGCACCGTCAACACTTTCACAATTATGGATGTCTATAGAGGCAGCATGGCTCAATATTCCCGCAGGGGACTTCCAACGACTTATTGAGTCCATGCCATGTCGAGTTGCTGCACTTCGCCGGGCAAAAGGAGGACCGACAAAATATTAGGAGGTATCCCATGACTTTTGTCACTTCAGTGTATATTACTAGGAAACTAAAATAAACAGAACACAATTAATATAAATAATTTTAGACTATTTTGTTTCATAACCATTTTAATTAAATATTCAAAATGCAGGATGGCAGAAAACACAGCCAGTTTTAAAATAATACACTAGACAGAGGAATTAGTGTTTACCTTTAGTTAGTATACAAAAGTCATAGGAAAAAATAAACATTTATGTACTGAAAAAGTGGAAATTTATTTACATTCATCTCCTTTTAATTGCAATATTAATTCATATGAAAAACCTACAATCAAATCTATGTTTTTTAACCAAGCATAATGAAACGAACAAAATCTAACTGTTGCTATTGTTCTAAGTGACTAATTGGAAAATATGTATGTAACATGGAGGTGGAGGAAGATGAGCAAATACTTACTGAAAAAGAGCTGTTATAAAATTTTCCTTCGTATCAGGAATTTGGGGTTTCTAGAAAAACATTAAAACAGTGACTACTTACATTAGACAAAAAACAGAGAAAAATACTGAAGTCTGAGATTTAAAATTTCAGAATCTGCTTGGCATACATCTCAAACCGAAACACTCACCTATTTTATATCCATGATGTCGACCTGGCAAGTCATTATTTATTATATTTTGCTTTCTTCACTGCATGTTTATCAATACATGACAGCTTCAGTAATAACTTATGCAATAATATTTAAACTTTTTTTTTATATTAGTAATTGAATAACAAGAGTATGGCAACCTTTTATGCTTAGCAATGATTATAGATTTTTAAATGCTTTAATAAATGTTGACAAGGCAAATTCAACAAAAATTTCTTTTCATATTCTAAAAATAGATTTTGTTAATGAAACTCATAGGCCAAAAGATTACATTTAGTGCTATTTTAATTAAGAATAACTGATATGTTATTCACCATAAACCCAGAAGCGGCGGCAGAATTTAGGGAAGACGAAATTTTTAGAATTTGAGGAAGCACCGAGCAGGAAAATTAAGGGATGAGAAGTTTTTTATGATTTAGAATGGATGCAAAGTTTAAAGTGCGGTGAAAATTTAGAACTTAAAAAAGGGCTTTGTAGCAGAATTTATGACCTATAGACACTGCACCAGATGGTATCGAGCGCCGGCCCAAGATAAAGCCTTAAGTATATGTGGGAGTTTATTTATTTAGGACTCTGATTAGTTTGAAGCATGTGCAAGAAATAAACGTAGGTATAGTAAATAACTAAATTAATACAATTCAGGCTTAATTCAGTACGCAATAGGAGCAAGACAAAATTTAGCGAAACAACTTGGCTTTCGTTGCCAATCTTGTGATACACAGCTAATACTGCATAACGGACACTATTAAGCTAGATTAAAATTATCTTTACTGATTCTAAGGCATTTCAATTAATTTAGCAGATTGCACTGCTCCCTAATCTTTTATTTTGATCCAGCTTATTATTTTTTGCAGACTGTTATTATTACGGCAATTTTATAAAAACTAAGCTTGAATTTACGATTATGTCAAAAAGAGTTCCCAATTCTGGAGCTGCCAAAGGATCTACAAAGCGAAACCATGTTTTGATGTCCTTTAAACAAAAAGTGAAATTGCTGCAAAAAATGGATAAAGGCATATCCGTCTCAAAATTATGCAAGGAGTATGGCATTGGAAAGTCAACTGTATATGATATAAAGGAACTTTTTGAATTTTTTGTGGAAGCAACTTAAACAACTTACATTGAAAGAAATGTTTAATAAAGTAAACAAATAAGTATTAAGCTTTTTTTTAGTAAATTTTGATACCCTTTAGATCGTAATTGTTCTTTATTTCATAAATTACAATTTCATATTTTTAATTGTATAATTTCTCCATACCATCTTAACAGATTTAAATTGATGACCTATTATACGGAAAAATCTTAAATCCGGAATCGCCGAAGTCCCAACCAGTCCGGATTTCGGACTTTGTACTGTATTAACCCTCCGAGAGCCATGATCGGCTTCATCCAGTCATGAGATTTTTTGTCACCTGTTATATATTAGCTTATAATTTAAGATACTCTCTTTTGCAAAAAAATTGAAGCACCAGGAAGGACTTTCCAGGCCACATACTGCTCGCATATCTCTGGACTGTCTCCATGCAGTCGATACTCTTCCTTGGCCATCAAACCTTTCAACAATCGAGCATGTCTGAGACATGGTATGCCGCCAAAATATCGCAGATCTGGAGTAACAACTGATAAATGTCTGGCAGAATGTGTTGCAGGATGACATTAGGCATTAGGAACCTCTACCACTCCTTGCTTTGACGAATTCAATTCTGGATTTCCTGAATACACACCGAGTGTGCTACTGTTACATAATGAAGGCATGCTGGAAGGAGGAGAAAATACCTTATAAACCCATCAAATACATATTTGTTTGCCAAAAATATTCCTCCAAAATATAAATTCCCACTCAAAATGGCAGTCATTAAAAAAAAAAAAAAATTCTAGATGAATAAAATTTAGGACCTTTGCTCATTTGGCCAAAATTAAGGACTTTTAAGGACAAAAAGTAATTTACAAAAAAAAAAAAAAAAAAAAAAAAAAAAGTTTCAGATTTTAAATTACGTCCAAAGGGGCGTTTTTTAACATTTTGTGTGTTACCTTTCTTTATTAAATATCATGTTCCTCGCACTTAAACCATAAGATCCAGTGCAACAGCAATATCGCAAAATAGTTTTAAAACGAGCATATCTTTAGAATTTCCGATACAGAGACTCACGCGCTGGAGATAAAAATGTTTTTCTGCACACAACGTTGCCATTGCTCGCTTTGAAATCCTTGAGTTTGTTAATCAAAAATTCGTCAAAGTTTTAAAAAATAGGAAATCGATCATAAAACAAATTTCAAATTTGGTCTTCCACATGCTCATATTCGTTGGAGGATTACGTTATTCAAAATTCGATGACTCTATGTACCGTTGTTTTATCACAATACGAGAAATATACATACATTTATGCAGATTTTTTCATTATTTAATTTCTTCAAATATAATGCAGGACTCTAACATTTTGTGGCAACAGTTTGAAAAGTGAACAGACATTTATGAGTCCGACGCAAAATGCCAAAACGAAACTAATAGTCCTTCGGGATTCCAATCCCTTTGGACTAAAAAAAGGAGCATGAACCCTGTTTAATTTATTAATATGTTTATATGCATTTATACAATCAGCAGCATGCTAGGAAATTTTTTAAACAACACATTGCCATGACATTTGCTTCACACCCTCTCCCACTTCTCATGGTAGCTCTCTTACAATACCATCTTTTTGCAGATTACAATACTTTTATAACTCATCTCGATAGGAGTAAACTTTTTCGAAGCATTAGAAATATATCTGTTGGGCTAGAATTTACAATAAATAAATTTTAAAAACATTATAACACTTCAAAAAACGTTACTGACAATATTTATTTTGAAAACAAGAACACTGTTATAAGCACGCATTAAACTTAATGTTAAAAAATAGGTAACACTGGCACATATATCTTTCTACAGAAAATTGTTTAGAATGGTTAATGGAGAATATCCTTAATACTATCAAAGACAAAAAATATTTTTATATTATATTATAATAATAATATGGCAACTTACTAGTCTGGGAGTTAATAGAGCAGGTAAAAATTCATTGAGAAACTGGTGTTTCTGTACAAGGCTGTAAAAGATAGATTGAATTACAAGTTGCAAATTTTGATTGACCAAGTTAAATAAAATTTTGATAAAAACAAAAACCATACCTAGCTTCTAAGACAAATGGAGGAATTTTACCAGTCTCTTGGAAGAGTGATAGAACTCTTTCAATAGTTTTTTCAGGTTGTACATGAGGCTGCATCACAAAATAAGAGTTTTCAAAATAAATTAAACATAAAGATATATAAAAAGATAAATTTTAATTGAAAAAAAAAACAGAACATCATGATACTACTATACTTGAATAAATTGAAAGCTATTATGCTTCACATATTATAAACATATATGAAGTAAAGTCAAAAGCAGGCCTAATGATTGAAAACATTCAGATTTTACCTAATATAATTTTTAAAAAGTTTTCATTTTCAATGAAGTAAAGATTTTTAATATAAACCATACATATATATAATACAAAACTTTACTGCCTTTTTAAACCATTTCAAACTATTTTTTAAGATCCTCCTTGTATTAAACCCCAGTTTAGATCGTCAGTCAGATAATGCCATACTAATAGCATAATGACCAGTCAGAATGCAGATACAACACATGTGTGCTCTTGATAACCAATGGACATGATTTGCACCTAACTAGAATACCAACATGCGAATACAGCACATTGGAGATAACCAGCTTCACTAAATGCGGCAGTCTTTGGGTATAGTAGAGGTGAAGCATGTCCTTGTGCAATATGTACATAATGATAGAGCGAGGTATACCCAAGTTGTGTTCCATTACTCTAATACTTGTTCCTGGATTCCTCTCAATTGTCCATACCGTAACTTTCTATATGGAATATATGTGTATAGTACATTACCAATCGATGTAACTGCTTATTCAAAAAGCTCCAGCCTCACTTAATCTACAGTACAATTGTCCAAACAATGGATGGTGTCTATTTGGAAACTGTTCTCAGTACATATATCTCACACATTATCCATTTCCATTCACAGCCAGAAAATGTAATAAGCCAGTCCCTCATTACTGAACTAATGCATTATTCTCTTGCAAGCTCCTCACCTGAAACGATCTTGCTTTTCCCTCTTCAATATAGTTATGAACATCACCTTATAACAGCTGGTCACAATTTCACATGTAACTTCCTGAGTAACACTTGTTCGTCATGGTCTGTCAAAGCAGCTCATAAAGTTTGTAAATAAACCTTTTTGGAATATATATGTAATAGCCTCTATATATGTAATAGCCCTCAGTATATATGTAATAGCCTCTAAGTAGTAATCTTCAGTTTAATTTGATTATTTCTCTTTCCATCCTAAAAATAGTAATATGCTTATTGTAAATCTTTCTGAATGGAGTCATTTCAAAGCTAATTGCTGTCATATGATTCTTATGTAATGCTCCTGACAAATGCATTTAATAGCAAAAGGTTTTTTTTTTATTTATTTATTTTTATCCAGAAGTAGTTGTAACTTTGTAAACCAAAAGCTTAATTAAAAAATAGAAATAAAATGAAGTTATTTTTCACTAATAGCCATACTATATGCCTTCTTCTCAGCTTCCGTGTCCTGTTAATAAAAAGTATCAATGTAATTATTGAAAAATGATGTGAGATTCATCAGTTGAGCTGTATATATTTATTAAGAAACGTTCTGCCATGAATAAAGAAGTATTTAACTGGGTATGACAGCAAATACACTTTTGTGCACTAGCTTTTCCATATTCTTTGCCATCACACAAAATTTGTGTACTTATATATAAAACTGTAGTGATAAAAAAATAATACATATATATACACTCTTTTGCAAAAAAATTGAAGCACCAAGACAGACATTTGAGATCGTGACAAAATTTGGTATGCAAAAACATCTTGATCGAACATGCAAATGACCAAAGTTTCAAGGCAAATGAACAGGAATTGCGATCACAGCGCACATTTCTAGTGCACAATTTGCAAAGTATAAAACCAGTAACAGAGGCAGAAAATGTATCTTTTTTTGTCGCTGCCATTGTAATTCCATAAGGAAGCAACTAAAGATGCCATTATGATGATATCGAAGACCTTAGAGACAGGTGACAGGTGAGAGCAGGTCCGGACGGCTTACATAGACTAGTCGGGTATCGTCCGGATCCCGCAACTATTTGAAGCTACACTCCGAAAACAATACAAGGGCAAAATATAGATTTTTCTGCGTGCAAAATTAAAAATTTCCTGGCTACATCGCATGCTAACACATTGCTACATATACTTGCTACAATATACATTTCATAATATGCACTGCGTTGATCATTGCACTGTACTTAAGGCACATTTACAACTCAATGCTACACTTAATACACTATATATTCTTTGCAACATATTATGCTGAACATTATTCTTGACAATTCAACATAGATTCTGAACAATGTAATTGTTTAAAACTGACATAACTGGATTATATAGTACATAACTTCGTTATATAAGACAGACTTAAATAAATAACTTGATACAACAGATAAATAAAATAAGAGCTCTTAAATAAAGAGCAAAATTGCACATTACAAACAATTTACACATTTTGCACACAGAAATCCTCTTTGTTTACTTTGTGCTGTACTTATAATATACAAAATACAGATTTAAGAACACAGTACAGCACGTTAACACATTGCTTTCATAACATGCACGTTAACACATTGCTATATATAAATCACTCAATACACTAAAATTTACAGAATGCAAAAATATTTACATACATATAACTACTATAATATTTACAATCTGTGCTCTTGAATACATTAAGTTGTAGTACTACAGTTATAATTATTATGCTTCCTGCGGCTCAAAGCATAGCTCTGCATGCTATGAGCACTTACGCATTTTACCAAGGTACTATACAATGTGTTGTACAATACATTATTCCACAATACGCTGCACAATATTCTGTTTATAAAATGCACATGCTTACAATATTGCACACATGCATTAATATGCTCATTACAAATATACATACTTGAACTATTTATATTTGGATAATATTAAATCATATTTACATTTGTTTTTCGTGTTCACAGCCTAACGTTACTCTGCGTACTGACTCAAGATGGGCTTCTTGCAGAGGCCACTGGAAACCAGTGTGCATTGATGCTTTGAATCTCAGCGAAATTTAAGTCTGTTATTGTGGGCTGCATAATTCTAGTCCTAGTGCTTCAAGTTTGTTCATAATGCTTTTGAGCTTCTTGAGATAGACCGGCTGCTTAATGAAGAAGCGTTTATAAGCAATGTCAGTATCAGGAAGCCTCATGTGCCATTCTTCCATAAGAGGGCAAGATGTAACGTAATGATCAGGTGTACCTACTTCATTACAGACACAATGATCAATTGTTGATATTCGCCTTTGATAGAAAAATTGGGGAAATGGTCCGTGGCCTGTAATGAAACGGGAAAGAAAAGGGGCTGAGATGAGTCGATCTTGGGAGACTCTATGGACAAAGTCATGGGTTCTACGGCCTTGCGATATAGAGTCCCATTCCTCTTGCCATTGTTACTGCGATTTAATGCGACAGACTCGCTTCAGATAAGATTTGGGAAGCGGGATCTGGACATCTTGCGCACCGATATTCTTTGCAGCTTCCTTTGCAAGAGTGTCTGCATCCTCATTGCCTCTGTGGCCCACGTGTGCTTTAATCCATAAAATCTGGATGTTGCAGTCATGCACATTTTCTTTGAGACTAAACGACTTTGAACGTCATCGCATTGTAGAGTTATGTGAAGCTGGATGGTCATACCGAGCAACAGGCCACCCACCATCTGCAGCGTACAGACACTGTTGTGTGTGGGGAGGACGGGGCCAGCAGTCCCAATCAGCCTTTGCTTTACGAAGGCATGCAGCTGATAATCCCTAGTGTGATGGTCTGGGGCGCTATTTCTTATGACAGCAGGTCATCTTTAGTTATCCTCAGTATATCTTTAACAGCTCAAAGATATGTTGATACCATCCTACGGCCGGTTGCATTACCCTTCATGGCCGGTCATTGCGGGACCATTTTCCAACAAGATAATGCCAGGTCACATACTGCTCGTATATCTCTAGACTGTCACCATGTGGTTGATATTCTTTCTTGGCCAGCAAGGTCATCAGACTTTTCACCAATTGAGCCTGTCTGAGACATGGTAGGCCACCAGATTCGAGCCCTACAAAATATCGCAGATCTGGAGCAACAACTGATGAATGCCTGGATGACATTAGGTACCTCTACCACTCCTTGCCTCGACGAATTCAAGCACGCACTGCTGCCAGGGGTGGTTCGACCAACTACTAATTTGAACACTCAATGGGTGACTGCAAGCAGTGAACACGTAATATGACCTTGATTTTTTAATCATTTTATTATCTGTATATAAGCTATACACATATTCAGCTGCATAAAAAATAACCATTTCCTTCATGGTGCTTCGATTTTTTTTTTTGCAAAAGAGTGTACATATACATATTTAAGTTTTGCAATCAGTACACAAAAGCATACAAGATTCAGGATAAGTTACATATTTAACAAATCGTAGTTGTCCAGTGTAGTCTAATCATGCAATTACCTAACATTAGTTTCATCACACAAAATTTTTGTACATATATATACAACTGTAGTGATTAAAAAAATATTTAATTTTTGCAATCAGTACACAAAAGCATACAAGATTTAGGATAAATCCTATATTTAACAAATCATAGTTGTCCAGTGTGATCTAATCATGCAATTATCTAACATTAGTTTTAATTAAAAACTACATAGAAGTTAAATTATGGAATTGTTTGCCTAAATTAGGAGTAATTTCGTTGATTTGGTTAGGAGACCTAAACTCTACTGAATATAAAATGATTATCCTTGTTCCGGTGCACCGGAACAGAGCAACTCAACCCAACTCTTTAGCTTCTGGAACTATGCCAAAGAACGTTGAATTCAGTTGAACAGTCAGACTCAGACGAACGCATTCGCAAGGCAGTGCTATGCTGTCTATTCTTCACTATTTTTGTTCTGTTCTCGTAATTTATATGTCATTTTCTTGTTTATACTTGTATTGTGCAATTATTTAATATAAGTTTGTGTTTAAAACGAGGACGGGTATCTAGTTCCTTCACATTACATCGCAACATAATAGTTTGGAGGCACCGGCGAGATTAAAGGACTTTTGATTTCGGTTTC